AGGGAGAAGCAGGCTTCCCGCGGAGCAGGGAGCCCGATGTGGGGCTCGATCCCAGGACCCTGGGACCATGACCTGAGCCGAAGGCAGACACTTAACGGCTGAGCCACCCAGGCGCCCCAGAAAGCGATTTTTTTAATATTTTAAAATTATGAAATACAGAGTGCTTACAGAAATTTATAAAGCATATATGTACTGTTTAATGAACAATTATAAACAAAAATGGAACTACCACCCAGGTCAAGAGAAGAGAACATCACCAGGCAGCCAGGAACTTGCCTTGCATTTCTCCTCTGGGATTACAGCCCACACTGCCTTCTAGACTAATCCAACCCTAACGACAGGCCTATTGATTTTGGGAAGCAATATAAAATTAAAATTGTGCCCATTTTTGAAAACTTTATATAAACATATCAAAAGAATCCTACTTTATGTACCTTCATGTATTCTTCTCATTTTTATGTTGCTGCACGTAGCTGGACTCTGTTCTGTTTCAGGGCTGTCCAGTATTCACCATATACACATTTATGCTGTGATGGGCCTGTAGGTTGCCTCTGCTTCTGGTCCCTTACAAACAGCGTTGCTCTGAATTCTCCAACACATCCATTGGAGCACACACACGCATTCATACCTAAAAATGGATTTCTTGGTCATAGAATGTGAATTCACCCTTTATCTTGCCAAATTGTTTTTTTGGTCATTTTTACCAATGTACACACTCACTAGCTGCATATGAGGGTCCTGGTTGTTCTTCACTCTTGCAAACCTTTGATGATTTATCAGCCCTTTTAGTTTTAGCCAATCAGATGGTTGGTGTAGGAGTATCCCACTATGAGTTGCATTTCCCTGACTACTACGGAGGGTGAGCGATTTTTTCATATGCTTCTTGGCCACTAGGATTTGCTCCTGCATTAAGTGCTTAATCAAGTATTTTGTCCATTTTTCTGCTGGGCTGTCTGTCTTTCCTTGTAGCAGTTCTTTATATATTCTAGATATTAGCTCTTTCTTGGATATGAGCAATACAATATCTGTTTCCTCTCCTTGATTTGCCTTTTTCATATATATATATTTTTTAGAGAGAGAGAGAGTGCTGGGGGGAGGGGCAGAACGGAAACCCATCTCACAACCTTGAGATCATGACCTGAGCTGAAATCAAGAGTCGGATGCTTAACCAACTGGGCCACCCAGACCCCCCCTCTTTTCCATATCTTTTGATGAACAGAAGTCCCTCTTTACCTCTAATAGTACATATATTATTAAAAGTAGCTAACACATATGGTGACTCTCAAATGCCAGACACTGTTCAAAATAGTCTGCATAGAATAATTCATTGAATCTTCATAATGACCAGATCAGGGAAATCCTCCAAGTAATCCTCAGGTTTCTCAGGTGAGGAAATTGAGTCAAGGTGACATTAAGTGGTGGAGTCAGAAATTCAAACAAGAATCTCCAAGATTATTCCTTAAAAGGAGGACAAAGAAGGGTAACTTCTCCATTATCAGACTGTGACAATTGAATTGCAATGAACAAATACATCTACGTACAAGACAGAGAGGCCAGACACAGATACTGTACAAGTGGGAATCTAAATATAATGGAGTTGGTGCACTAAACTGGTGGGGGGAAATGTACTATTTTTGAGAGAAAAAAAATAGAACTCTACCTCATACCACTTACATAAATTTGAGGTGGATTGCAGACTGAAGATTCAAAACAGAGCTTTAACAGAGAAAATATTGAAGAATGTCTTTTTGAACTCAGGGTGAAAAAAATGTCTTAAAGAACCAAAAGCGCTATGATAGAAGTATCAGGTATATTTAACTGATTCCAATGTCATGACTCTGATGGTTAATTTTATGTGTTGACTTGATTGGGCTAGAGATGCTCAGGTAGCTGGTGAAGAAATTATTTCTGGGCGTGTCTGTATGTCTGTCTCAGGAAGAGATTAGCATTTGCATCAGTAAACTGAGTAAAGATCACCTTCACCAATACAGGTGGGCTGATCCAAGCCATCAAGAGCCGGAATAGAACAAAAGAGCAGAGAAAACGTAAATTCAGTCTCTCTGCTTGAGCTGACACATCATCTTTGCCTGACCTGGGACATCAGACATAGGTCCTTCTGGCTCCCAGGCTTTTGGACTGTGAAAATTAGTAATGGGAAACCTCACTAAAATGGAGTCGGGGTGGAGCCGGGGGGAAATTGGCAGGGGGAGCTCTCACGCCCTACCACTCATGTCAATTACAGATCCAACAGAACAGACAGACTTGACCTTATAGTCCATCTTGCAGGTGGGTACTACTGCATTCTAGCTGGAAGAAGAGACACTTTCCTCATCTCAGGCAAAAGCTCAGCCAATGAAAAGCCACCACACTTGAAACTTCCAGTTTATTCCAGTGCACTTTTAGTTTATAACAGCTTTCCCAACTTGCCCTTTCTCCTTAAAAAAGCGTGTCTCTCCATTGTTCCCCAGACTTGCCTATGGTTTTGCCCCAGCTTGTTTGTCCCGGACTGCAATGCTCTTTTACTTCCAAATAAACCCATCTTTTGCTGCTAAAATAACTGGTTTTTATTTTTAAGGTTGACAAGACCCAGATTCAGTCTTAAACCATTAGCTCCCAGATTCTCAGGACTTTGGACTCCTGTTGAATCACACCACCATATTTCTGGTTCTATAACTTGCAGAACATCAATCTAGCAGATCACAACATATCTTGGCCTCTGTAACAACATGAATCAAATCCTATAACAATAAAAACTCTTCAT